GCAGTCAGGTAGAGGCAGCTGGGTAGAGGCAGGCAGTAATATGGAAACAAATGTCTTCCCCCAGAGTAGAGTGGTGAAACAGGGCTGCAGTCTCAGCCCCACCCTGCTTAACATTGCCACAATCACCAGATATCAGTCAGATATCCCTGGTCTCACTCTCTCTGGCACACAAGTTAAATGCCTACTGTTTCCAGATGATCTTATATTGCTAGCTCAATTTAGACAGACATCACAGCAGTAGCTGGATCATCTGTACAACTTCTGTCCAACCTGGGCCCTGACAGTTAATCTGGAAAAAACTAGAATTACAGTCTTCCAAAAGCGAGCAAAGTGTCAGGGAACCACAGACAGGTTTTTCCTGGGCTCCACTGACATAGAACACACACACATGGCTGCACTTATAAGGGACTATAAATCACCTCCACAGGAAAGTTCAGTCTGGCTGTCAGTGACAGAGATGAGGGGAGAAGGGCTTTCTGTGCCATTACAAATCCTCAAATAGAGAGCCGCCTATTAGAATCTGGCTCAATGTTCAGTTAAATTATAGTGGGGTCCACTTGCAAGTGGAGACCTTGAAAATGGGACAAGCACCCGATAAAAGCAATTTACAGTGAAATCTGCAGGACCATCCTAAAAGTCCACAGGAACTCCCCCAACAATGGATGCCAAGTTGAATTAGGCCAATTTCCCTTTTTAATTTGAATACAAAAATGAGCAGCAAACTCTATAAATATCTAAAAACAAGTAACCCTGACTCCTATCATTGCAAAGTGCTTCAGTACCAAGACGAGACCAGAGAGGAGCCCCCACAGGGAGCTGGTCCTCAGGCTCACCTCCTCTAACAGCACAGGCCTCACACAATCAGGTCCAACCACGCTGTAACTATACAAAAAGAAAATTACATCGACTATTGGGCATCTACCACAAACACTCAAAATACACTTCAGTGCCATTTGGCTCTAAACAAGACAGTGCACGGTGGCAGACTGTCTGACCACCATGTACTGATCAGACCTTGGAAGACACTGATGAAGTACAGACAGTGACCACAGCCTGGCCATGGAAACTGGCCGACAGGTAGAGGCAGACGGTCAGCAGAGAGAAGATGGAAAGAAACCTGGAGAGTTGATGTAGCTGACTAGCTCTACCATAGCTGGGTAGCATGCTAGCAGTTAGCTTGTTAGCTAACTTACAGCATGTCACCAGCTAACCAGTGAGTGTGGTCACTATGTCACCAAGATCCAGAGCAGCTCCAGGCCCGAGTACTGACTCTGTGGTTTGATCTGCCCGGCAGTCTAAGGAGCTGCAGTTGGTTGAATGACCATTCACACAGAGATGAGCTGTGATAATAAATAAAT